TCATCCATCTCATTAGAACTGATTCAAATGAATTCTTTTTAATGGCTGAGTAATATTCCATGGTGTATATGTACCACAGCTTCCTTATCCATTCGTCTGCTGATGGGCATCTAGGTTGCTTCCATGTCCTGGCTATTATAAACAGTGCTGCGATGAACACTGGGGTGCACGTGTCTCTTTCAGATCTGGTTTCCTCGGTGTGTATGCCCAGAAGTGGGATTGCTGGGTCATATGGCAGTTCTCTTTCCAGTTTTTTAAGAAATCGCCACACTGTTCTCCATAGCGGCTGTGCTAGTTTGCATTCCCACCAGCAGTGTCAGAGGGTTCTGTAGGTGATGATGGTATTGGCATGGCTACAGTTGAGGGAGAAGCTCCGCAGGTACCGGACTCATAATAGAAGCTGCTGGGCACCAACAGATGGTGATGGAAACTGAGAGAAGAGATGCTCATTTAAGGGGTTAAGTACAGAGGACAGGCACGTGGACGGCAGGTAAAGGACAGGCTGGAAACCATAATCTGGAAGATTCAAAAATACTAAGGAAAACCTAAGGGAGTTGCAAGAAGAAATGACCCACAGGGTTGCAAGTACCTCACAGCTAAAAAAAATAAAAATAAAAAAAATAAGAAGAATATATTTTATTTGGTCCAGAGACAGCTAGGGTGATCTGAGGAAAGTATATGCCAGTAGAAGTAAAAATGCTGCTGTCACAGAATACAAAACTGGATTTTAACCATTTAAAAGAGAGCAATGAACCAAAGTGTTTTTTCTCCCTGAGTTGCCACTACCTGTTTCCAAGGAAAAGATTCATCAATGAACATATTGTAAGTGTGCAGCCTCCGCCCACTATTGAGCTATTTGAATACCAACTGCTTTTAATAAACATGATAAAGCTACTGGAAATCATGCTTGTCAAACTTCCTGCACTGCCTTATGAAGGACACTTCTGTAAACAGAAACCAAAAATACATTGGTTATAGATACATGAGAGTGATAAGGCTAAGATACACAGAAGCAATTTCCTATCAAAATAATAAGTGTACCTAGGATACTTAAGTATTCCTGCTGGTCTTTATCAGGAGAGTAATAGGCCTGCTGTCCTCAGTTATATTGATTCAACATGAATGAATGTGTACAACAATATTTCTGTATATAAAAGAAAATTATTGCAATGAATTGCCTCAACTTAACTTTGGGTTCTTCACGTTTGTAAACTGAGACATCCAGGAGACAATGAAGGACAGGGAAGCCTGGCGTGCTGCAGTCCCTGGGGTCGCAAAGAGTCGGACAGGACTGAGTCACTGAACAACAACCGTGTTGGTAAATTGAACTTATTTTACTACTTGATGATATTTAATAAGAAATAAGTTACGATTTCAGTGATTCAGGAGCTGCTTGTTGAGGGTTTTTTTCACTGCATGATTGTTGATTTAAAATTGTAACGGGAATGAAAAGACAAAGAGAGCGAATCGGGCAGGCAGGCAAGAAAAGGGAAATTTATTAGAGGAAAACGGGGCGGGGGGTGCCTGACCCTTAAGGAGAGCTGGCATCTTCCCTTTCTGACGGGGTCTTTCTTATACCCCGCCAGTGAAAAATTCTCTGAAGGGGTGGTTAATTTTAGCCTGCAGTTGAGTCCTGTGGTCACATAGCCGAAGGTGTGGAATCTGGTAGTCTCATAGCTTTGAGAAGGTGGACGCCAATGAGAGAGCAGAATGTTTGGGCAGTGTGGTCAGTCTCAAGGATCAATGTGATTTTATTTGTTTGTGAGGGCAACATAATGAGCCATCATAACAATGAGCCCCCATGTAGACCCTATCAAAAATATTATGACTCTGGATGTAAATACATTCTGTTGCATTTTAATGTATGCAATTAGGATTTCTTGGGCACTGTTTGATTTGGTGGCATTTTTGTATTCGCAAAGCAAGGTGGAAAGTGGTTTGATAACTACTGTCATTCATCAATGGTGCATTGTTTTGGTGGCTCAAATATACCTGTCATAGAGATTTTTTTAAAAATAAGATTCTGGATGTCTACTTCTCCATGATAACAAATCCTTAGTCAAAAGTCTGTTTTGCTCCTGATGGGATATTTGCTAAGACAAGGTACATAGAATTAACGTGCGAAGATGTCACATTTGTACATCAAGTAATTTTCAGGCCTTAACTATGGCCAGATCAGAAGAGAAATAAATGGCCTTTCACTGGCCCAGTGGAAAGGTATTATGATAATTTTTTTCTTATATCATCTTGGAACAACATTGTAAAATAACTCTTTGTTTCCTCCTTTGCATTGTGTTATCTTTAAGGATTTCTAAAAGATTCTGTATCCAGTTTTTGGATACATAGGAGACTGTCATTCAATAAGCATCCGAAATTGAGGCCACCAAATGCCCCACCACCCCATAAATCAGAGAACAAGCACAATTTGAATATTCTGCATATATTTACATATCGATGTCAAGAGTTACTAACTCCAATTATGTAAAATAAAATTAATTAGTGCAGCCTCCTGTAAAACCCGTATTCAAATCCAATATTCAGGACAAGGCAGCCTGGAAACACCTACTACACCTTAAAGGCAATTAGCTTGATTTCTTCCGGGAATAGGAGGGTCAGGCAGATGCACCTACCTTGGTGCATCAAGGGGAACAGACACAGAAGTAGATGTTTGAACACAGGGAATCAGATCCCAGGCGATTGGTCCTGAGCTTCTGTGTTCTCTTTCCCAGTGAACACTGCACGTATTTACACATACCACAGACACTGTCTGTTCTTCTTGAGTTCCTGCGAGCATCGCGTGGCACTCGCTCGCCTTGGCAAGGGTTCTTTCTCCAGCCCCAGGGAGAGCAGAGAGCGTGCCAGTGTGCCTTTTCTGGTGATGAAACTACTGCATTTCTCCTGATGAGCATCGTCATGGGTGTGCACTGTCTGCGGGACCTTTACCCGCCCTTATCTGCCTTTAGAAGTTCTCCTGATTGTAGTTCAGCACCCACTTGGTCCATTATGAACACCTTACACTCTATAGTTAGAACTTCTTTTAAACCTCAGATTTGCTTGGATGGCCTGGGTTGCTGCTCCAAGACTGGACTTTGTCATGCTTGCATAAAAAAGACAAGAGGTGGGACTTCCCCAATCGTCCAATGGTAAAAATTCTGCCTTCTAATGTAGGGGATGTGGGTTTGATCCCTGGTTGGGAAACTAAGATTCCGTGTGTGTGTGTGTGTGTGTGTGTGTGTGTGTGTGTTCAGTCATGTCTGACTCTTTGCGACCCCAAGTAGCCCACCAGGCTCCTCTTTCCATGGAATTTTCCAGGCAAGAATGCTGCAGTGGGTTGCCATGCCCTGCTCCAGGAGATCTTCCTGATCTCTTACGTCTCCTGCATTGGCAGGCAGAATCTTTACCACTAGCACCACCTGGGAAGCCCCCAGGATCCCACATGTCCAGGGGCAACTCAGCTGGCACTCCACAACCCGAGAGCCCCATGCCCTGCAACTAGAGAAAGCCCTCACGCCATAGTGAACAGCCTGTATGCCGCAACAAAGACCCATCACACAGCCCAAAGAAAGCCACACAAGTGGTTTCGTCTCTTCCACCAGTTGTGAAGATTAATTAAGATATCATTGCTAAGCGCCCAAGACATAGTGCATATCTAGAAACTGTTAGCCCCTCTCCTTCTGTTAAGATTCAGTCCAGGTGTCAGTCAGAGGAGAAGTCTCTCTGTGGATGCAGGGATAATCAGATGCCTGCCTTGGCAGTATCCCCTCCTACGTCATTGCACTTCCATTTGCTCTTTGTGTCCCGAGGGCCCAGCGTGTAGCTGCTGGAATGTGGACGGTGATATGAAGCCTCAAGGGAGGTGATGTGGAGAGCGTGGTGGAGATGACAAAACTGTGGAAATTAAGTGGCGAGCGGGCATCTCATCATGTTCTCCTTCAGTGTGATTTGGCTTCACTTCTGAGTAGCTAGAAGAATTGATATGGTCACATGATTCATTAAAGGAAAAAGAGTCTTTACTTAGATTCCCCAATTCTCTCTGGTTCCCATCCTCTATGGCAAGGACGGAATGGGGAGATCAACTTGGGTCTATTGCAGCATTGAAAATAAATGTGAGTGTCACATTAAATTAATCTTGAGAATTGTGAGTATTGGGCAGCTGTGCTGTGGTGCAGACATAGCTCTAGGTATATGAACATAGACCTCAAAAAGTTTCCTATTAATATAGGAACCCTAAGAGGCAAAGCTATTTTACCCTGTTAATCTTGACCAGTGCTCTCTAAACTAGCATACAAACTGTTTATGACATGCTCAGGACGATCTGTTGGGCTGAGAAAAATATTCAAGTTTTTTTTCAATTAATTTTTATCTCATTCCTTAAACATTTCTTGTGCTCAAGCTTAGTTGCTCAGTTGTGTCCAACTCTTTGTGAGCCCATGGACTGTAGCCCACCAGGCTCCTCTGTCCGGGGGATTTTTCAGGCAAGAATACTGGGGTGGGTCGTCATTTCCTCCTCCAGGGGATCTTCCCAACCCAGGGATCAACCCAGGTCTCCTGCACTGCAGGCGGATTCTTTACCTGCTGAAGTCACCAGGGAAGCCCCTTTAACCTTTCTAGTTGTATGTATTTATTATATACAGTAAATGGAATTTGAGTGTAATTAACAAACTTGCCAGGTAGTGCTAGTGGTAAAGAATCCACGTCAATGCAGGAGACATAAGAGACACAGGTTTGATCCCTGGGTCAGGAAGATCCCTTGGAGTAGGGCATGGAAACACTCCATTATTCTTCCCTGGAGAATCCCATAGAAAGAGAAGCCTGGCGGGCTACAGTCCATGGGATTGCAAAGAGTCAGACACAACTGAGCAACTTAGTATACATGCATGCAGGCTTGCATGGGGACTCCGTTTTTGTGATCGGGGTAAGGACGGTTTGGGGACTAACCCACTCTGTCTTTCTTCTTTTAGACTGTGGTTTTGAACTTGCTTCCCAGAGCTAACTTCAGCATGCTCAAACGGAAGCAAAGCTCCAGGGTGGAGGCCCAGCCGGTTACCGACTTTGGTCCCGATGAATCTCTGTCAGACAGCGCAGACATCCTCTGGATTAACAAGCCAGTAAGTTTCTTTTTCTTAAAAGAATAGAGAGGCACATGCTGATATGAAGCCACTTTGATTCATTTAATTCAGAAGCTCCTGTGCCTGTGATTTTGAAACTTCTGAGCGGCAGTAGAACGAATCTGGGAGATGAGAATGATTCCAATGACATGATGAGATGCCGTGTGAGTGACTCACGGCGGAGGCATCAGAGGGGGCTCCTGACCTGCCTTCTCTGCACGCCCTCCTTGGAGTCACAGGATGTGGAGTTACTGCCACTTCTCCGGCTGACCTGAAGCTGGAGACCGGGATGAGGGACCTCTTCACTTATCCTCACCAGGCAGGAGTCCGAGGAGATAATCAGATGTTAGGAATTAAAGGTCTCCTTCTGAGTTGCAAGTAAAGGTTAATGAGGTGGTGGGTAGTATCTGTGAAGAACTCTGTCACCTTCTCTGCCTAATTAAGCTGATGAGAACTTGAGGCGAAGCCCGGCTACACCAAGTGGCATGGTACACGGGGAGACGGTCTAGCGGCCGGAGCTGGGGCTGAAGGCCTCGTTGCAGACCTGGGAAGCTCAGCTTCCGACAGCAGTCCTGTTGTTGTTCAGTCGCTCAGATGTGTCTGACTCTTTGCGACCCCATGAACTGTAGCACGCTAGGCTTCCCTGTCTTTCACCATCTCCCAGGGTTTGCTCAAACTTATGTCCATCGAGTCGGTGATGCCATCCAGCCGTCTCATCCTCTGTTGCCCACCCCTCCTCCTTCTGCCCTCAGTCTTTCCAGCGTCAGAGTCTTTTCCAGTGAGTCAGATCTTCTCATCAGGTGGCCAAAGTATTGGAGCTTCCGCTTCAGCATCAGTCCCTCCACTGAATTTTCAGGGTTGATTTCCTTTAAGATGGACTGGTTTGGTCTCCTGCACAGGGTCGACTCCCTTATCAAACTCCGTAGCAGGAGCTGAAATCAGGAAATGAGATGCTACTCTCTCACTGCTTGTCTTTCCCTTGACCTTGACCATAATAAAGATGATCGGCCTTGGTCCCCTCTGTCCTCTCGCTTCTTATCTGCTCTCCAGACCGCTTCTCAGCTGCTCACATTTCTTTCCACATTCTGTGACTGTTCACATTGCCCTCTGCTTAACAATCATTGAAACATCCCTATTACCTACACTGAAATTTTTAAAAAGTTGTTTGTATCCCATGCAAGGCCCTTTATATGGTGGCTCTATCTTATGCAGCAGCTACCTTTTCCTGTATCTACACGCTGTCCACTTATCGGTGGCTTCCTGTTCCTCCGAGGTGTCCAGCCAGGTCACATTGTTTCCTTTGCCCTGAGATGCTTTCCCAGCGATGGTACCCAGGTGGCTCAGTGGTAAAGAGTCCACCTGCAGTGCAAGGGTCCCAGGAGACGCAGGTTCGATCCCTGGGTTGGGGAGTTCTCCTGGAGGAGGGCATGGCAACCCACTCCAGTATTCTTGCCTGGAGAATCCCATGGACAGAGGAGCCTAGCAGCCTATAGTCCATAGGGTTGCAAAGAGTCGGATACAACTGAAGTGATGTAGCACTCACACACAGACCAGTCCAGTCCTCCTCATCCATGTCGCCCCTGCCCCCATCCACTCTGAAAGTTTCCTGCTTTGACCCTCCCCACCACAGATGGAATGAACCTCTTCTCTTTCCACTTATCCTACTTTACATATAGATATAAGTAAAAAAACGATTTCTGTATAAATATATGTGATGCATATTAGACTGAAATAGGCATAATGTCACTTATTAGTGATGAGTTAGAACTGTGTTGTTTCCATTGGTGTGTCTTCAGAGCCCAGTGTAATTTCCAACACATAGTAGGTCTTTCCCATTCATGTTTAGGGAATTTGAATGAAATAGAGAGTAAAGCAGTCATTTTTTCTTAGTGTCCACCAGTACAGAGCTTTCTGAGACCTTCTGAAGAAGGTAGTTTTACAGATGTAGGCTCAGAAGACTAACTAGAATGATTAATGCTTGATGAGAATTCATTCTTTAAATTCATGATGGTTTTTTGGGAGAATTCATCTTTTGAGGCTCTTTTGTGTAATTAAATCCTTTGTATTGGGGGCCCAGATGGGTCTAAATTTATGCGTGGTGTTTATTGAAGCGCTTCTTAATTGGCATGAAAAGTACATCAACTTTTAAAGTTAATCATCAGTGACTTATATGGTATGGAAATTAGTGGCATTATGTCTTCATGCAAATATTACAACCATCAGATTAATATTATAACCCACTCACCAGCCTACAAGTGTCTGAGTCTCCTCAAAGTTTTGACAGCCTTTTCTGTTTTTCATCTTATGTGGTTGTTAGCTTGTATGGCTTCAGAACCCATCGACTATGAAACTGAAACAGCTTTTTTTCTTTTTTTTCACAGAGAATATATTAAAGAATTAATATGACTGTGTATATTATATATATATATATATAGGCTAGTCTATAGATAACACATTGAAATTATGTTTAGGAATTATGTACTGATTTGTTAGTAGTATTGTGTGGGTTTAACATGCAAACGCATTAATATTTTTTATCCTAGCTATTAGTTTTCATAAGAATATATTATATGGATGATTTATGTCCTACACTTATACATGTATAAGTGTATACATGTATACACACAGAAAAACATCTTTAACTTTTTAATTCCTTCTTCTTTATGTTAGGGTTAAGGAAAGACTTCAAACATCAAGTGCACTGCCAGCATTGCACAAAAATGTAATTTTTGGCCTTTTTGGGAGAGATACCTGGGCTAAATTTACATGAAATATGTTCTTCAAAATAAAGAAGAAGGTTCATTTATTATTAACTTTTGAAAATATAGGATGAGAGCAGATTTAAAAATATATTTTCATACAAACATGTTAGCATAAGATAATAGAATGAAAGCCCTACATATGGGAAGTGTTCTATATCAGTTAACTTTAAGAAGCATCTGGGGTCTACTGGGATGAGCCTGTGTGCTAGGTTCCAGGGAAGTTAGAATAAATATGGCCCCAGAGTCTAGGTGCTCACAGTACATAAAAAGTACGAAAGTAATAGCATATCAGGTTTCATAATTTCATTGACTGAGGCTCTATCATGCTTTTATGCCCCGGTAAGTACCAGGGGCTTTGGGGTAGCCTGACCTGGTTCACACGGAGGTGAGGTTTTATTCACACGGGGCCACAGAGAAGCACCTTAACCTTCCTAAGCCTTAGTGCTTCCATGTGGAAATTAGGCTGCCTTGAGAATTAAATGATGTAAAATACATTGAAAATATTTAACACATTATCAGTATTTAATATGTCAGTTTTATTCTTCCTTTTCTCCCTAAGTAACCCACGTATTAGTTGCTTAGTCATGTCTGACTCTTTAAGACCACATAGACTGTAGCCCGCCAGGTCCTCTGTTCATGGAATTCTCCAGGCAAGAATGCTGGAGTGGGTAGCCATTTCCTTCTCTAGGGGATCTTCTCGACCCAGGGATCGAACCCAGGTCTCCTGCACTTCATATAAACAAGCGCTTCTTTACGGTCCAAGCCACCGGAGAAGGCCCCCTTTTTTCTCTACTGGTGAAATATTGGGTTGGCCAGGAAGTTTGTTCAGGGTTTTCTATAAGATGTTACAGAAAACCCAAATGAACTTCTTGGCCAGCCCAATATTTCCAACTCAGGATTACGTTTTCCAGATCGCGTGGTTCATAACACAGGTTTCAGATGTTTTTCTGGGCCATCTCCACAGTGGGTTCACTCTCTGCTGCGCATCTGTGCCATCATCAGCGTCATCTCGGTCTGTATGAACACACCCATGACCTTCGAACACTACCCTCCTCTGCAGTACGTGACCTTTACCCTGGACACTCTGTTGATGTTTCTCTACACAGCAGAGATGATCGCCAAAATGCACATCCGGGGGATTGTCAAGGTGAGCGTTTCCATGTTATTTAAGCTCAAAACCAAAGCATACTGAAAATCTGTATCTGTTTAATGTTTCATGTTAATTTCAGTCAAATAAAACATCTCTTTTTATCAATATTGAAGTCCTTTTAAGAGGCTATAATTCCAGATATTATAGTTGGAATGAATACCTATAACTCAATATTGGTAGTTATCAATACTTGTCCAGTTCTATTTCTTTTAAAGACAGCTCTGAAAAATCAGATTATGTTAGAAACAACTTATGCATGGCTGACTGATAAAATCTTTTTTCTAAATATTGCATTGGGCACAGTTAACAATAATTTCTCACTGTAGGCCAATACCCAATCCATATTCATGATGCCCCACTTATCACGGGTATTTTCTTTTAGAGTTAGCTTCTTTAAGTCATGACTCAAAAAAGCTGCACAAGGCGTATTTTTGGAGTTTTGAAGTTTGAATGTTTTATCACGTTAAGAGATTAAGCATAAATTTCAATTTTTGAGAGTTGTATCATGAACAGCTTTTACATTTTGTTGAATGATTACTTTCCCCCTTGACTCATAATAATGTGGTTTTCCTAGTAATCAAACCATCCTTACATTCCCAGGAAAAACCTGGCTGGGTCATAACACAGTTTTGTTCTGTTTTAATGTACTATTTCATTAAACTTGTATAATAATTTGTATAATTTCAAATATTTGTATAATATTATATTATATATTCAATATATTTCATTATATTGTTTAAATGTTGTTTAATCTCTATCAGGTTTGTTATTAGCTATTCAGTGTATATGTATGCTGTGTATATGTACTTCTGTGCTCTAAAATAGTCTGAGTAATCTTGAAACTGTTTTAGCTTGAAACTTTTGGTAGAAATCTCCTGTGAAACCATTTGATCCTAGTGCTTTTTTGATGGGACTCCCTTTCTTTAAATTGGTTTCTTTAGACTTGCTTGGTCTTTACTTGATGAAATAAATTTTCTTAAAGAAATTGTCCACTATTAAGTTTAACTTATTAATAGTGAATGTTTTACAATGTACTGATTTCCAACTAAAATATTTGTACAGCTTTTTTCAAAAGTGAAAATTTGTGAAGAAAAGTGTAACCTGATGCTTAAAATAGAACATGTGTTACACATATACTTTATTTGGTTTGATAGACTCAAATCCTATGTCCCTGGAAAGGCTAATCTTCAGGGAGAAAATAGGGAAGAGAAGGTAGTGATGCACTTAACACTTCCCAATTGTTAAGTAGGTAAAGAATGCCAGCCCAAGATTTAGCCCCCAGAACTGTGGAGCTGTATGCACACCCTACCTTCTTGCAGGATTTGTCGACACTGGCAGCATTTCGATTGCCCACATGCAGATACACAGTAGTGGTTCTTCTTGTTACACAGTAATTGGGGCAAGTATTTTTGCAAATGTGCATAGTGAACATTTGTATGGTGAGAATTCAGATAGTGAGAGATCAGTATTTTGTGGAAAATGCTCTAATAGTGGTCTGAAAAAGTTATAGGGGGAAGGAGGCACCCCAAAATAGTGACAAAATCTGTTTGGGGCTGCCCAGAGAAGTCTTGAAGAAAGAGAATGTGGAAGTGTTGTCTTGAAGGATAAGGAGGTGTGGGCTGTGGTGGGGGAGATGGGGAGCGGAGTAAAGGATTTCATAGAGAGGAAAGCAATGCTGTAGACACACAGCCTTGGAACAGACTGGAGCCTTGGGGTGCTCTGCGTAGTCACAGTCAGGGGGAGCAGATGGTATGCCAGGGAACAGCCGGGGAGGACCCTGGCACGGGAGACCAGCTGCACCTTGGAGGACCTTGCAGCCTTGTGAGGCACTCAGTCTTCCTTCTGTGGTCAGTGAAGAGGCGTGGGGGATCGGAATCCGAGTGACATAGTTTGATTTGTATTTGAGAAGTTCACAGTGGAGATCACACGCTCCACACACTGTAGGAGAGAGAAATTGAAGCACAGAGTCCTCCCGGCAAAAAATGCCCTTTGAAAGTTTCATTAGAGGAATGTATCTGTTTGAAGAATTTCACATCTTTTATAACATTTCCCAAACTTGACTATATCTGCCAATTAATTTTCACTCCCTGATCATTTGTTTCTAATTGCCTCCCCCACGAATTCCTGTTCTGAGAAGCACTATAGCTCAACCAAATCCCCATAGGCAAAAATAAAGCATTGGGGTGATATATGTTTGTGTTTTTGTGAAGCATTCCATGTAGTGCAGACTGTGAAGTCTTCAGACAATTCTCAGTTGTCTGTTTTTCATCTGGCAACAGACCTGGCTAAAAAGTAGCATGCGTCCTCTGAGCATTGTTGAAGTAATAAATAATAATGCTAAGACACAGTGAGAGATGGGCCCTGGGAATGCGGAGCAATAAGTCATGTGCTTATGAAACTACACCCATGCATATTGTTTTGTGACTGCAAATTATATCCCTATGAATGTCTTCAGGAAAATGTGTTTGTTTTCTCTGCTTGTTAAATCCTTGCATGGCAATTTAAGTTCCTCTCTTATACTGTATAATTGATTGGCAGCCTCCAAGTGTTTACCTTTATAAAGATTGATAGACCACTCTTGAATAACTCATCTCCTCAGGCACCAGCCTGCTGATTTCTGCCCATAACTCAAGCACTCTCTCCTCTTCATTTCTTGTTGATGCAACAAGCAAATTAGAACCTTTCTTTCATATTGGGAGACATTACAGTTTCTTAAGTACCAGTGGGCCTTCATGTGTGTTAGGTTCTGTTTCCATATTTTGGAAGCAGGGGGAAGGGACAGTTTATTATTTGCAAGTATGATAACTTGACCATGAATGCAGTAGGATTTTGAAAGGAACTCGACATACTGATACATTGAATCGTAGCACCATTGAACCAGTTATGGTGAGGAGTCTTTGAAAATACAAACTGAAAAAGAGATAATGAGTTAAATGTATCGGACACAAAGTGCAACACGAGATTATGTTACTGAACCAAACTTGGGTAAAGCCAATCTACCAGGTTATGGTCAAGGCAAGTGCAGTGTTTATTTCAGAGCCCAGCAAGGAGTATGGGTAGCTAAGGCTAAAAGGACCCAAACTCCTGGAAGGGTTTCAGGGAAGGGATGTTAAAGGTCAGATGAGGAAAAGGTCAAGGAGTGCATGACCAACTCATGGAGCTGGTGGTGTGGTAACTACCTTCTGGTTCCAGCTAGTCTGGGTCTAGGTGTTGGTGGTCAGCAATCCGTTAACTCCTTTTACCTTGTGGGATTTTAGTAACTGCAAAACAACTCAAGGGTGTGTCTCAGAATTTTATCTATAGCCCTGAAAGAGGAATTACATAAAACAAATGACTTTGTTTTATGGTTAATTTATTATTTGGCCTTATTAAACTGTTTTCCTTTTGTTTCTGTATTTTCTCACTTTCCTGATTGAGTTTGTTCTTTAGAACTCCAGGAAGGCCTAGGAGGCTAGAGCTTTTGTACAAACAAAATGTGGGGGACACAGTAGGGTCCTGCTTATCTTCAGTTGTACTTCAAAGTGCCGGGTTTCGGAGCCTGTATTCTGTTCATGAAAAGGTATTTTGTCCTTACAGAGCCTTAGTGAGTTTTGATAATGATTGTCAATTCAGTCTTGTTTGCAATTTCATTATAATGCAAACATTATAAAAACCTTGTGCTGCTGTACTTAATCATGTCTGACTGTTTGTGCCCCCATGGACTGTAGCCCACCAGGCTCCTCTATCCATGAAATTCTCCAGGCAATGCTATTTTCTCCTGCGGGGTATCTTCTCCCTCCAGAGACTGAACCTCTGTCTCTTGCGTCTCCTTTATTGGCACTTGAATTCTTCACCACGGTACCACCTGGGAAGCCCATATTAAACTTTGACCCAATTCCTATTTGCATGGCATGTCAGCTTTGCTGATTCAGACTACACTAATCTGAGAAATATGCAAAAATCATCTCATAATTTCATCTGTGATCTTTCATGATTATTCAGGAAAAGAGTCTTAACTTTAAGGTATTACCTTTCAATGTACTACATCTTTCTCTTTTTGCTACAAAGAATCTTTCCTTTAAAGGGACAGTACTAGTAATTTCAGTGAATAGATAGATGCATGGATGCATTCATGAGGCATAGGTATTGACTTCTTACTGTCTGCATTGTAATCTACACAGGCTCAGAAGACGTGGTTCATATGCTCATCTCATCATTAATTTAATATCATGGTGCAAGGTAGTGGGAATGCCGCCTGAAATTGTCTAGTTTAAAGTTTCAAGATACTATTAATCTTCAGAACAAACTCAAGCATTGTCAGAGGAGTGGAAGATTGACCTTTTTAAAAAGTACACCACCAGGGAATATGTTTAGAGAAGGTTTAAATAGGAAACTCAAACTATAGAAACTAAAATATAAGTTAATTAAATAGCTGGATGGGAGTTACAAAAGACTATTCTGTCCGTTACACAGTATGAACCTTATTTATATACATGAGCTGAGTTGCTGTTGGTTGCATGATATACGAGCAAAAGCACTGATTAGAGTGGGCTGTGGTCAGATCAAAGTCTGGAGGAAAAAATTGCCATAGACTGCAGGGAATTTTTCAGGAAGACAGAATAGCATGAAGGACAATGAATGCTAAAGGGCAAAAGGTTAAAAAAAAAAAGATGGGAAAAATCTGAGTGTTATTGGCCTTTGTATCCCAGATCACTATTACACAGCTCAAAGATTTTTATAAATATTGAATGACTCCTGGAAACCGAAACCAAAAAATACTGTGTAAAACTTCTGCTTGGTGGATTATTTCACGTTTTATATCAGGCGAGTTAAAAGAAGCTAGTTTTAATTGACCATTCCATGCAATCTAGAGTGTGGTGGTCTTGTTGGGACAGGCAGATACCACTCTGAATTTCTGGAACATCCAACACAGAGAACATTCCATATAGTTCAACTCAAATGACTTCATAATTCAGAAATAGTTTTCTGTATTATACAGTAGAACTTTTTTTGCTAAACCAGTTTTCATGAGGTCACTAGAAATTAGAATGAGCTTGCATTGTTGTTGTTCAGTTGCTAAGTCGTGTCAGAGTCTTTGCAACCTCATGGACTGCAGCACTCCAGGCTTCCCTGTCCTGCACTATCTCCCAGAGTTGCTCAGATTCATGTCCATTGAGTCAGTTGTGTGTTTGCATGCTTTTGTTTTATTTGGAATCCAGCCAGAACTTCTAAAATGACTTCAAATAATCCATCCTTTGATAGAATTCAAAATATACTCAAGTCAGCTTTCCTTAACCTAAGTCAATTTCCTTAACCTATAAATCTATATAGTAAATAAAAATTCAGCCAACTCTGTTACTGATGACTACGTTGTAAATTTGTGAGGCTCATATTTTTCAAATTTGACTTTATTGACACCAACTGAGTGATTTTTGTTAACATTAGAATTTTCACCTTTTGAAAAAGTTAGCTTTGAAAGATCTGTTTTTAAAATGTAACACATGACCATTAGTCAAAAGGCATATGTATGGATATTCTGGGAAAATTATGTCTCTTTTCCACCTTTGGCTCCTTGCCACTCTGTTCCCCTCCCTGGGAAATACCATTATTTATCCTCATTTTTTATATTTTAAATAACCCTCAATATAATGAGAAGCTCTCAACTTGTATCTAATTGAATGTAATTTGTTACTAAGGCAAATTATGAGCAACAGGAGGTTAACTGTAGTGATACTGCGTGAAACATTTTTAAATTTTAAAACAGGAATGAAATAATACTATTTGGGAAAAATCTTATATAAACTTATCTTATCTGAGTGCTTGTGTACCCAATAATCTGTAGTTATTAATATTCTCCTTCTTGGCTAACATTTACGTTTAATCATTCCTATTTTAAAATAGTTCTCTGCTGAGCCTCATAATATTTCTGTGCTCATTTTGGAATTCTTTTACATTTTTAAAACAATCACAGTTATGCCTAGTTCTTAAAGATAAAGTGATATTTTTTTCACTTTTTTGCTCAACATATAAGTAAGGAGCATATTTGCTTAATAAAAGTTGATTTGAAAATATATACTTTAATTTTTCTGTATGCATGCATGCATGCTAAGTTGCTTCAGTTGTGTCCAACTTGTTGCAACTCTATGGACAATAGCCCGCCATGCTCCTCTGTCCTGGGATTCTCCAGGCAAGAATGCTGGAGTGGATTGCAATGCCCTCCTCCAAGAGATCTTCCTAACCTAGGAATTGAACCTGCATCTCTTATGTCTCCTGTTTTAGGAGATGGGTTCTTTACCACTAACACCACCTGGGAAGCCCATTTTTCTAACACTTATAGAAATATAATATATGTGCATTTTACATTTTTTAAAAAATAACTGAGAATATAAGTTACATAAGGGCAGGTGTTTTTGTTTTATTCACTTCTATATCACTTGTTCCTGAATGCTGCCTAGAGCATAGAAATATTCTATTTACTGAGTGAATGAATTAACAGATTTGTTCAATATATCAAAGAAAACTTAAGGGAAATTACAAAGTGCAACTTAAACATTTGTATTTTATTATCTTTTAGGATGGTAGTCAAAATTAGACTCATTTTATATTGGTTATGGTGTCTATATTTAGTTTTATAATTAATTCATATTTTAAGTTGTGCAGTGTACAAGGCAAATTTGATGCCTATGGTAGAAAATTCCTCATGCGATATTGAAGGGAGCTATATTATCCCTTAATTATTTGCTCTATACTTAACATGCACATATGTGAATACATAACCAGTAGCATTTTATGATATAGTTTTTATCTTCTTAAGATATGGTCATATGATGATCATAATGCTAATTTAATAGGTCATTGTCCGGTTAGTCACCCAACCCCCAAATTTGCTTTTATAACTCTTTTGTGGGTCTTCTTGAATACACACCAAGTCTGGTTGATTCTTGTGCCAGTGGTAAAATTATTTGTGCATTCATTTGAGAACCAGCATTGTTTCTTCTTAACTCTCCACAGAATTAATTTTCCCACCATGATTTTAACTTTATTATAAATTAGTTGGCCTTATGTATAGTATTAACTGGGTGTGTACATGGCTATATATCTACACAAGATGTGTGTGTGTAGTTGGTGTGTATGTGTGTGTGTGTGTCGCTTGACATTATACATCCTCTTATATAAAGTACATGCTTACCCAGTGCTAACTAATCTGATCTTAAACTTCATATCTGAGTCATATAACTTTCATTAAGTGAATTATCATTCATTACCTTTAGATTTGCAAACAACAAATTATTTCTGGAAACCTCTCAAGGAAACTTTCTGACAATCTATTTGTTACTCAAGGTTCTCAAAATTACTTTATTTTCCTAAATATCCTGCAACATACTTTACCATTTTATTGAAAGTCTTGGTCTTCTGTTCCTATTTTTATTTTCTAAACAGATTCACTCAGAGCTGGTAACCGTGTGACTGGATTCAGAACTGAGTTTCACAGATTACTACATAACTAGTGACTTAATTGTGCAGTCCTGAGCAAGCTATTGAAGGCTTTCTTTCTAGTTAAAGGTTTCCAATTTCAACCTCATAGGGTGTACTGTTTTGTTATTTGAAAGGAAAGTTTTTTCTAAAAGTCCCGTTTTATGAAAATAATGCATTCCAGTGTCAGAATAGATTCACTGTTAAAAAATGAAAGTAGCATGCCTTCTTTATCTTTCTTTTATATTTATAATCCCAGTTAAAATCAATATATGTTTATTTTGAAAATGAAGGCACATTTCTTCATCTTCACCTCCAATTCAGTTCAAGGTGAATTGAATTACTGGTTAATTCTCTACTAATGATGGTTGTCCACAGAGATTCAAAGTCCTTCACTGACCACTGTATCCTCTTGGTTCTGTAGGAAGAGTTGGTATTAGGACCTGAGCTGCTTATTAAGTACGATGACCTCTGGCTTCTTATGTGGTAGAATCTATGTGGCTAAGAGTAAAACTAGTGATGTTTTCTCTTTGCATGAATTTAAAATTTTACATGCACAGTTCTGCAGTTACTTGTGTTTTAGAAATTATTTTCCTCATATATAATGTCATTTAAAATGCTGAAAGACTTTCCTTTTGAAAGTCTGTTCAGTTATGATACAAAAATTGTAGATAGCTTATATCAAATTAATACTTGATTATTCCCTCCACAGATGTTTTTTTGAAATTATTCATTTTGTCTGATAACACCATGTGAAATTCATTTTTAGGGGGATAGTTCCTACGTGAAAGATCGCTGGTGTGTTTTTGATGGATTTATGGTCTTTTGCCTTTGGGTTTCATTGGTGTTACAGGTAATTAAACACTTTTAACTTACAAGGGTATATTTTCCAAAATGGGCATTATTTTGCATTGAAAATCTAAATTGATATGTTAAAGAACATATATATGTGTGTATGTATGTGTGTGTGTGTGTGTGTGTGTATATATATAATGTGATTGGGTAATTGTCTAGAAACACTTTTAATGTTTATTGATTTTTAAAAGCCTGATATTTTAATCATCATCAGTCAGATGTTTGCATTATTTTTCAATCAGAAATAAAAATCAGTACCATACAAGATTATTTCTCATTAAACAGACATTAGAAATATATTGATTGAAATAAATGGAAAGAACATGGAGTGAGGTTTCTGTATTTGTAGAATAAAAATTTGAATTTAAAAATCAAAAGTCCAGTCTTTTCAGTGACTAAATTTTCACTAAAAATAGCTAAAATAATATAAATACATTGGGGTATATATTGAGTAACATAAATAGTGTATTGCAAATGGAAAATTCCTTACTTTGAGAAATGGGGAACGTATATTTAAAAGGCCTGAAGGAGAGATTTTATTAAAAACAGTATAATTCATTCCCAGGCACTCATTCAGGCTTGATTTTGTATTTAATCCAACTGAACTTATTATATTCTTCATTTAAAAAATTCAGAATAAAATAAATTCATCATCCGTCCCAGAAACTCATCATGGTTCGTATTGATAAGCTGTTCTTATTTTTATAAAGCTCACTTCTCTAACAATTAATTTCATCCTGCATATTAAATGTGTTCTTTTCTATTTAGTAACTATTGTATGATTGACAAACATTTTCTAATTATCCTTTTGCCTCTGCTGGTAAATGGAATTCTTTTTCATAATATCTTTCTTAACTCTTTCTCCATTAATCCATGTTCTAGATACTCGAGAAGTTCCACCAAAGACTGTTGGTAGTGAGGAAAACTTGGCATACTTACTCCATTTTTGTAATAAAAACTGCCTTGATGAATCATATAGAAAATGAACAAGATTAATGACACTTTCACTCATTTACATATTTGTTTCTCTTAAGAGAGCTATTCAACGTGTACTCCAAAGAAAGTCAGTGTTGGTGGATGGCAGTGTGGGACACAGTTCAGGGAACATGTATGCGTCCTGTGATGCTGTCCGTGCATGTCCTCACTACGAGCAGTGCTGGGATGCCCTGTGATGTGATGCTGTCCGTGTACGTCCTCACTACGAGCAGTGCTGGGATGCCCTGTGATGTGATGCTGCTTGTGCTGTGTGTTGTGCCATGTGATGCTGTTTGTATGTGTCCTGACTACACCCAATGCTGAGCGAAAGTCTGAGTTGTCTGTTCACCTCTGAATTTGCAGGTGTTTGAAATCGCTGATATAGTTGATCAGATGTCTCCTTGGGGCATGCTGCGGATCCCACGGCCACTAATTATGATCCGGGCATTCCGGATTTATTTCCGATTTGAGCTACCAAGGACCAGAATTACAAATATTTTAAAGTAAGCACTGCTTTTACATAAATTAAGGGGAAATGTTTATGACATTTTTTGGTAAGTTTTACCTACTTTATTTTTTCCTCCTAGGCGATCAGGAGAACAAATATGGAGTGTTTCCATTTTCCTCCTTTTCTTTCTACTTCTTTATGGCATTTTAGGAGTTCAGATGTTTGGGACATTTACCTATCACTGTGTAGTAAATGACACAAAACCAGGGTAAGTTTATCTACTAACTGCATTTTAACCTTATGATTTACAAGGATGTTCCTGCAGTTTTGATGCAAAAAACCTGTGTCTCAGTTGTTTTAAAAGTACTTGTGTGCTCTCTATGGTCTGTGTTACAACTGAGTGACTTATACACACACATACATACAAAGACTTTATTTGTAAAAGCCCAATTTGGTATACTCCAGATTTCCATCAACAGGTAAATGGATTAACAAGTATATCTATATGATGACTGTGAAAGTGTTAATCACTCAGTCATGTCCAATTCTTTGCAACCCCATGGACTGTACCCCACAAGGCTCCTCTGTCCATGGAATTCTCCAGGCAAGAGTACTGAAATGGGTAGTCATTCCCTTTCCCAGGGGATCTTCCCGATCCAGGGATCAAACACGGGTCTCCTACATTGCAGGCAGTTCTTTACCATCTGAGTAACTAGGGAAGCCTACTTATAGTAACTACTATTTAGCAATAAAAAAGTATGAGATATTGATATTCACAATATCTTGGGTGAATCTCAAGATAATTATGTTGAGTGAAGAACCTTGACGACATAGTACATATTCTGTGATTTCATGTATGTCAACTTCTAGAAAATGCAAACTTACCCATGATAATGAAAGGAAATCATTGTTTGCCTGGGCATAAGAGTTGGGGTAGGGATGAGATGATGAAGGTGTGGTTCTGTGTATATGTCAAGGTTTCTCAAGCTGTTCTTTTTAACATGTGCAGTTTATTGTATGTCAAGTATTTGTTGTTGTTACTGCAACTATTTAGAAACGTTTCAGCGTGAAGTAGAGATCTGGTTTTCTTCATATAGCTAGGTGCTTATCCCCACACTGCTTACTGTGTATCATTACCCACAGTATTTAATGCTGCCTTTCTCATTTGCTAGTTCCCTGTCTGTATTTGGATCTGTAGCTATGATCTCTTCTGTGCTTGATTGACCTATTTAGTGATCCTCTCATTAGTATCATGCTCTGGACACATTTAAATACTAATGTGTCTGTATGCCTGAGGGTCACCTTTCCCGACCCCAGCCTCACAGGGGCTGAGGACTCTGTTTTCTACTTCTTACAGGCATGGAAACCCAAGCTCTTGGCTACTGAGTCCTTAGTGCTCGTCGATACCATCATTTAATCAACTCATGTGTTTGCCTTGTTCTAGTTTTTCCTTTCCTCTTACACGTTGCCATTTTGGAATGTGTGTTTTCTTTCTTACAAGCCCAGGTGTGTGTGTGTGTGTGCTCAGTCGCTCTATGGATTCATGGTTAATGATATATTATATTTAGATGGATAATAACATTGTGACAGATTGATAAAGAGCCAGAAATGAAAAGAAGGACAGAGGAAGAAAAGCAAGCTGCTAAATAAAAGCAGCAAAGGAGAAATGGTTAGAAAATGGAAAAGCCACGTTAAAAGTGGAGAAAAGCAATGAGTTAGTACAAACACAGGATAGGAAAGTTGAAGGAAGTGGTGAGTAACTGTTGAGTCGTGTGGGTGAGGGAAGAGATGCATAGAGGGAAACCTGTAGGTAGTTGTCTTTTTAAGTGCATGTGGGCTGCAGAATGTGTCTAGATTGTTCCATGAATGAATATGAAGGTGAAAAAAGATACCGTGTGGCCAGGAGACAACAGAGGAGGAGCGAGGGGAAGGAAAGCTTTCGGGTGAGGACGCGGCTGTGTGAGAACAGCGGTGAATGCGGGAGCCCAGTTTAAAGGTCCCACTTTCGTTAAAAACCAAGTTAAAAGGCAAGACTTCTCAAATGTGTTAACCCAGCTCGGAGATCAGGCATCATGCTGCAAACTTAACTTTGACACGGAGAATAGACTACAATTAGGGAAGATGAGTGTGAGTGTTATCTGAACTCACGGTCCCTGAATCACTTAGTAAGTTCTCTCAGCCAGCTCCACACTGTACTCAGGACTCAGAAATGAATGTGTGGAAAAACATGTTAAAAGACCTCTCATATGCTGACTCTTAGCTCCAGCTCATTACATTATCCTTTAAAAAAAAAAAAAGAGTGTACCGTGAAGAATCTCATACGTGTTGGCAGACTTTTCAGCTACTCGAGACATAACAGTGATGGGGAGATGTCTGCATTTTTCTCTTTCTTGGATTTGTATTATCAAATCTGTGCAGTTGCATTATGCACACACCCATGTATTTTGTCTTCTCTTCACGTGATTCTTCATTTACTGTTTGAGAAGAAGATATGTAACTGGCCACACGTTTTATCAGCAGTGTTACTCATAAAAACAGTTTTCAGAAGTTGGATGACTTATTTCAAGGACCAACCATTTATGCCATTTTTTCTTTTGTATTTTCAGTTCAGTATTAACTGAGTTTTAAAAGCCTTGCTCTCAAGAAAATTTGTCAATACCATTTTACCATCTCCAGACCAGACATTTAATTTGCTTTATTTTTAGAGACTCAAACCAAGTCCAGAGTCAGAATGAAACACATACAAATCCCAGTTGAAAAGAATTTTCCAACTTTTTGTGTTCTTTTGTTGCCTCTTAGCTAGGAATTTCTCATAAACATCTCTGAGTCACAGACACTAAGCTCTACGGTATGATGTTCTGCTTCCAGAGATCAGAGTTGCCAGGTGCTGTCATGACCTCCTTTCTCTTCAGCCTTGTCTTTTAACATTTGTTCCAATCTCTGCTTAATTGATTTCCTTGCATGGTAGCCAAATAATAGGACAGCTTTCAGGCAGAGATGTGTCTGCTCAGAGACCTGTATGTCCTAGGTTTCATGGCTGACCTCTGGAATTGATTATGTTAATCTCTGAAGCAGACAGGGCAAATAAAGCAGGAACTCAGTACCTGCAGTTTTGCTTTTGAATCGACCCGGTTTCTTGTAAAACAGATAGATGGGCATCTCAGCTGTGTCCTCTATAGCAGGGGTCCTCAACCTCCCGCATCTAATGCCTGATGATCTGATGCGGAGCTGATGCAGTAATAATAGAAATAAAGTGGGCACAATAAAGGTAATGCACTTGAATCATCCCCAAACCATCCCCCGACCCCAGTCCATGGAAAAATTATCTTCCACGAAACTGGTCCCTGGTACTGGAACGGTTGAGTACCACTTCGTTTATAGTGTTACTAGTAAAGCTTTAGCTTCTTCTCCAGTAATGAATGGTGACCTAAGGCAGTTACAGAACAAATAATAGGATTTGACTAAGCAAGACAGTTCATACCCTAAAGAGAGCTGAGAAGACCAGTGGCCTGTGGAGGAAACAGGTATTGCAAACTGCCAAATGTGATGGCAAAATTCCCCCTGAAGCTAAAAGAGGAACATGTAAGAAGGAGCTGCTAGGTGAAATAGAACAGATGAAGATTTTCCTGACACCTTATTATCATTCCTGAGAAAGGAGAGAAATTTATTCATGGCTTGGTATCAAATAATGACATCTCATCCCCAAGAATGAGATAATTAGAAAAGGTAAGGAAATGTAAATGTTAAGCATGTAATAGTTTACTGTGCAGAGACTAAGATTCAACCAGGAGCTCAGGTTAATGTTTGTAATGACTGGACAATCTGCTTTGAGCCCAGGAGGTAGGGGACCACACATCACAGGCACCCTGGACTGTTCTGCTTCTTCCCTGCTGCTGCAGAGTAATTACGGATTACTTCCTGTGGGTCTTAAGGAGAATCTCAGTTATGGACAATTCATTTCATGGTTCCCCCGGCCAGTAGGCTTCCCTGGTGTCTCAGACTATAAAGAATCTGCCTTCAATGCAGGAAACCTCAGTTTGATCCGTGGGTCGGGAAGATTCCCCTGGAGAAGGGAATGGCAGCCCACTCCAGTATTTCTGCCTGGAGAATCCCATGGGCAGAGAAGCCTGGCGGGCTACAGTCCATGGGGTGGTAAAGAGTCAGACACGACTGAGTGGCTTCACTTTCACTTTCCATCCAGTGGCAGCTTTTAGGACTTGGTGGTGTTTTATAAAAGATCACTAAGACCAGAGACGATATAAAGTTGGATTTGGGGGCAGTTTTCTATACCAGCCCAAATAAAATTTAAGTATTCCTTTTAGAGTACTTAGAAAATAAGTGAATGGTTGTTTTATCAACTCTGTTCACAGAACAATGAGATTTTTTAAAAATGGAAAGGTCAGAAGAATTAAAGATAGAAACATGGTGGAACTTAAGAATCTTAATTTTTAATTTCCATGGCCTTTATCAAGAGAGGATTTTGTACAATATGTAAAATCATAAGTGCCTCAGATTCATGCAAAGGACTGTGGAGTCTTCTTGAAAGGATCAGGAAAGACTCCTCTGTTAACTTACAGGATTCATGCCGAGGTGTCTGCCGAGTGGGAGGTATAAGAACAAGTTGAGATATTGGAAATATATTCTTTATAATGTTTAAGAAATGAAAGTACTCTGATGATGTATCTACAGTAGATTTCTAACTAAATTAATAGAGTGGTTATGGAGCACCTGTTATATTGCAGATATTTTGCTTATGTAACTGCTTTTTTAGAACAAATCTTACGTCTGCTGCCAATACAGGAGACCTAAGCAATGCGGGTTCTATCCCTGGGTTGGGAAGACCCAGGTATGGGTGGGTGTGGCACCCCACTGCAGTATTCTTGCCTGGAGAACCCCATGGACAGAGGAGCCTGGCGGGCCACAGTCTAGGAGGTCACAAGAGCTGGACGTGACTGAAGCGACTTAGCACCCACCCATGCGAGAATTTGAAAGAAGGGGAATTAACCAACATGTGTGCTTAAAGTCATATCTTTCTGACACTACCAAGTGGTGATTTCCACAGTTAGAGCCTTTTACTTGGGGTTTGCTTGTGGGTGTCCAAAGGGCCAGCTTAAAATGTGGTAGTTATTTAAACATTTCCTGAGATGTGTAAATTCACTCAGTTGCCACTAATGAAGAACAGAATCCTGAAGGAATAAGCATAGAGTTTTGTTTTGACTGAGACAAAACTGGGCAATATATTACCAGGCATGGTGTGTGTGTGAGTAAAATTGTGTATGTCTTTGTAAGAATTTGTGTATATGCTCGTGCGTGTGCCTGGTGGCCTCAAGCAGCTAAGGGATCCTGCAGTTAGGCATCAGACTTTAGAGAAAACATGCTATATAAGGGGCAGAAAGCATCACAATGAATTTACAAAGATATCGAAGAAATGTGACCCAAAACATCCGTCTCAATGTGGCCATAAGCAGGGGAAACTGAGACTGTCCTTAGGTTGGTCCCCATTTAGGAAACACCTGGAGACATTGATGTCGTGGGAAATGATGGTACTACAATCAAGGGCTTGTAAGACTTGTGAATCCTCTAGGCTAAACTTGGGCCCCTACATGAGCCTTGTCAGTTGTCTCAGGTAGCAGCTACTTGGGGCTCATTTTAAGGCCAGCCCACAAAGGGATTCCATATTCACCATTCCAGTGGTTATCTGTATTCACTGCCAAGAAAAGCATTGCATATCTAAATCCTTCATGTCAACTTAAATTCCAGTTTATCCTCCAGAAAGATGAAAAGTTATATCACCAGTCATCTAAAAAAAAACCTTCATATTATTTGCGGAGCTGAATCACTGCATAACCTCTCTCCTTCCAGTGTGATACCTTTCGTTCCTTCAGTCTCACCTTGCTTATCTGGTTTCCTGTCTAAACTGTACATCTGAAAACGCAGAAGAAGGCTGAGTGTCATTTCTGAGGCTCACATATGGTACTTTTGTACCATATGGAAAATGACTGTCATCATTAGCTGTTGCTTAGAAGCAGAGAAGTAACATTTGTGGCCACAGTAGGAGAAGGATTTGTGAATAACACAGAATCCCCAGACAAGTTTACGTGCCTTGCAAATCTGCAGGAAAATTCCTTCCCTTACTTTTCTGGGTCTTGGTCTTTTATGGCAAAAGCCATCATGGCCATGATGCTCTTATAAAGAGCTTCTGTGTGGCCTTAGAGAACTTATGGTTACTGGAGGAGAAGGATGCAGGGAACAGATAGGGAGTTTAGGATGAGTATGTGCACGCTGCTATTAACATATTTTAAATGGATGACCACCAGTGTCCTACTATATATTACAGGAAACTGTTTAATGTCATGTGGCAGCCTGGATGGGAGGGGTGTTTTGGGGAGAATGGACATATGTATGTGTGTGACTGAGTCCCTTTGCTGTCCACCTGAAACTATTACAACATTGTCAACTGGTTCTACTCCACTATAAAATAAGAAGTTTAAAAATAACGTGAAGAGCTTCTGTGTGGATGAATCTCATGTCATTTGAGAATGTTCCTTAATGTGATGAATACCATTCATGAATCAGGAATCTTAAGTCCGTGTCCACACACAGCAAGTATTAATGAAGAGTGATTACGTTGTGCATTGTAATCAACACACTTGTTGAAAATGTCAAATCCTTTTTTGTGTTGTTTGCAGAAATGTAACCTGGAATAGTTTAGCCATCCCAGATACACACTGCTCCCCAGAACTGGAAGAAGGCTACCAGTGCCCCCCAGGATTTAAATGCATGGACCTTGAAGATCTGGGACTTAGCAGGCAAGAGCTGGGCTACAGTGGCTTTAACGAGATAGGTCTGTCTTACTGATAAAACACCTTTTCCGTTTCTGTTTTACAATGTTTATGAAATGGAGACAGTAGTAACATAATTGATAGTTTATGTTCAGACTGTCTATAGGATTTAAGAAATGCAACTGCAAATTTTAATATATTCTACCCTACAGTCTATAACATACAGTCTGTTTTTATATAGATATGCAACAATGTCTATATAGAGTTAAATATCTCTTCAATTATTAATTATAGGATTTAAAAATATTTGCTTGTTGAGTAAGGTTCAGGGTTCTTGACTCAAAGAACCCCTTGAATCAACAGGACTTGGTTCCTTCCACATTTAACTGCTAGGCAAGGTAAGTCTTAAATAATTGGAGTACTAGACATTGATGGGTACCTGAGAGGTGAGAAGTAATTCTGGGAACAGAAGACAGCTAATGGAATACTTAGTGAATGTGCATCAGCTATGCAATAGAGATATGGGGAATGCTTGTATGCAAATACAGTGTGCGCAAATGTGTACATTTATTCACGGCTTGTCCTGTTAAGTCCTGAAATGTGCCATCACACACAGACTTGGCATCTGGCATTCAATTGGTATCGTTGCATTTTTACAATTCCATGCATATTGTGCATATTTCATTATTGAAACAAAAAAACCATGGAATTCTAAACACATATGTTAGGCTCTGAAAATTTGTCCTAGTCGGTTTAGGCAACCACAGCAAAATATCATAGACTGGGTGGCATAGACAACAAAAATGTACTTCTCCCCGGTCTGAAGGCTGTAAGTCTGGATCAGGGTGCAGCATGGTCAGCTTTGATGAGGCCCCTCTCCTTGGCTTGCAGTCTTCTCTCTGTGTCCTTATGTGAGGGGTTGAGTGGGGGCAGAGAAAGAGATGGGGAGAGAGAGAGGGAGAGAAAATCCTCTGGTCTCTTCTTCTGAGGGCACTAATCCCATCATGGGAACCCCACCCCTCGTGACCTGGTCCAAACCACATCACCTTCTGAAGTCCCCACCTCCTAACACCATCACACTGGGGGTTAGGGCCTCAGTATATGAATGGTAGAGGCTGAAGGAGTAGACTCAGACATTCAGTCCATGGCACAACTGTTGGAGTCATTTGAAAATGAATTAATCTTATTTTTAAAGTTTCAAGGCCCAGGTACACTTAAGAACATTCTGGACACTTTTACTCAGGACATAAGAGGAAAATATTTTGGTGTGTAACAGGGTGGTGGTTGTACTCTTTTGGAAGCCAACTCTGGTTATTTTTCATCCATCCTGTGGTGTGGTTTCACTTCCCGATGTACCAGCTATACAATGGGGATTGCATCACCCAAAGAGAGAACAGCGTCTCTGTCCACGCTGGAGGGTAACTGCTTCAAACCCAGCCTGGCCACCTTCACACATCAGGAAGAGTGGCTGATGAATCCTCTTCCTACCCTATGGCTTCAGTCATCACAGCTCCTAGATAGTGTTATGCAGGATGGCATAATGAACTCTGAGATAACTCTTTGAATTTCAGAAAGGACATGTGAAGACCTTGCACTGATTGAGGAATACTTTCCAGATATATGAATTAAACCCACAAGGCTTCAGCCTTTGGAGAGAATGTAATACTTGAACTTAGGCTGAAAAAAACCAAATAGTTGATATTTCTGAAGAGTGAATTTTGCAAATAGCACCTACATTTTTATTATATTTCAGTATAGCCGCATAGTAAATTTCCAGTGTAATAGTTAGATGGACATTCTTCATTTGGCCAATGATGTAGTTTTCTGATTCACAAAAATTTAGAAGGCAACAGATGTGAAGCATTCTAATTTTCTGTCCTCTCTTATCTGGTTTTGGAACCAATCTTACATCCTCCCCCCATCTCAGAAGTGCAAAGACTTTTATGGAAGATGCTAGTGACTTGCAGGCATGAGTGGGAAATCACAGGTGTGGCTTGGGAGATGAGATACACAGATTTAGAAAGCTGCTCTGAGCAAGTTCCAGAAGTCCTAACAACCAGGGCAGGACTGGAATGCATGACTGGTTAGATCCTGTTGCTCTTTCTTTTAGGGGTTAAGTCTGCCCATGTCTGGAATGGAAAGTGGCCAGCATTCAAGGTTAGGCTGCCCGGGCACTGGAAACCTCCAAACCTTTAAAATTATGTTGCTAAATCAAATCTCACCCTGACCATTTTAAATGCAACAGTTGTGTTTAAAACTCCAATTGCTGCATTATATTCAAGTAGATTCATCTTTCTTCTCTGTTACTTACAGGGCTTCAACTAATGTAGATGAACAGAATCTCTTTGAGCCAGAAAGTCTCCTTCTAAAGTATGTGGGCTTAAGAAGTCCATTTCTAGGAAGGAATCACCCTTGGGGGTAAAAGGCCCCCACTAAGGCAGGAGTCTTACTGTAGCTCTACTGTTTATTTGCACGTTTATCTCCCAAGGATTTAAGTTGCTGGAAAACAGGAAGCATCTCTTTTCATCTTCATGCCTCCAGGCCTAGAGCAATGTCTGCCTCATAGGGAACCCTGTATGAATATTTACCAAAGGACTGAACAAGGTCTGTGTTCTCTTGAATTCGTTGGTGATCCATCATATTTGTACTAGGATATGGAGCCATAAGAGAGAATTAAGTTGTTTTCTTGTTCTCTTCCCTGATGGCATCTGCTTTTGTCGGCAGTGTTTGTTCTTTCTCATGACTTCTGTTTCTATACAAGCTTAATTTGGTCTGTTTGCTTCTTTTTCTCAAGTGATGATTGGATTCCGCATTATTGTAGAACTAATGGTTAGATGATGAAATGTTGACTTTGAACTATGATAAAAAAATTTTAACATGGTCACTATAGTTTAGATTGAAATTGATAACTACTTCCTGATAAGATGTACCTATGTAGATACACAAACTAGTATTTTAGATTACTTGGCAAGTTCTTATGGAAACAAAAAGATAATGTTTCATCCAAAAATGAGGAAATTAATTTTATTAGGCACATGCGATCGTCTCTTTCTGCATGCAGCCAAGTTTAAAATGCAATTAGGTGCCTAATTGTGCATTTCAATTTGGCCAGTTTACTCTATAGGTAAGTAATCATGATTAATTTAAAAGGAACATGTTTCCTTTTCTTACTAATCCAAATTATCATGCAATACACTGAATTTCAATCATGTATAAAATTTTATTTGTAAGTAGCGTTATGTCTTATGAAAATTTAATACTAATGTTGGAAAACTCAATTTTTAAAATATATTCAAAGCCAGAGTCATTAAGTAGAAAAAAATTACGAAGAGCCCCTCCTGTGAGACTGCAGAGTAAAGACACCTTTTTGTGTCCAAAATCATCCAAGCATTAAGGAGCCTGAGAAACAGAAATGCAATTTCCATATTTAAGGACGCAGAAAAACCTGGAACTATGAATCCCAACCTGAGAGGACCAGGATCCAACAGGAAACTTCCTGGAGGGACTCTGGATACAAAGGATCTCAGAGCCAGCAGGATACTGATGTTCTAAACACCCGGTGTTCATTGTACATTCAGTTTAGAAATTCAACAATAAAAATTAAATTATATAAAATAGCAATAGAATAAAACAAAATAAAATTCCCAGAGGAGCAGAAGAGTCCTGTCTTTGGGTCAGGGCATCAGTGTGTGGCTGATGCTCGGTGTTTTCTGGTATTCCATGGGGCATCATGGACGAGAGGTCCTTGTTCTGCAGACCTCTGGGAGAGAGAGGACAGACAAGTCAGTTGTGAGCGCCCTGACATGGCTTATCTGCATCGAATAGAACAAGGGAAAGACTCCAGATTTGTAAATCTGGCTCTACATTTGTTGTTGTTTAATCATCAGTCGCGTCCAACTCTTTTGCAGCCCCATGTACTGTAGCCCGCCAGGTTCTTCTGTCTGTGGGATTCTCCAGGCAAGAATACTAGAGTGGGTTGTCATGCCCTCCTGCAGGGGATCTTCCTGACCCAGGGATCAAACCCATATCTCCTTCATTGCAGGCGGACTCTTTACCACTGAGCCACCTGGGAAGCCCAGGATGACCTGAGAGCTTTCTAAAACCTGATTCCCAGGCATCATCTCCAGGCCAATTAAATCAAAACTCTACAGTGATTGAAGACACAGGTTAATCTAAAAAGTTCTCTAGGGCATTCAAGTGCGCATGCAGAGTATGAGCTACTGGACTGACTCACAACACTGATACTCACATACCCAGCAGCCCGTGCAGCTCTTCATTTCTGCCCCACAACATTCCCTCACGCTTCTCTGCATGAGACGAGACAAACACCTGGTGCTCTCAAAATCATTGTCAAGGATGAGAGAGAATCAAAAAGAATCAGGACCAGTTCTATAAAAATGTACCTTTCGGTGCATTTTAAACTGAAAAAAAAAATACACAAGATATATATATATATATAACTCAAAAGAATTGCAGAAAAAGACAAATATATACTTTAAAAGGGTACAGTTTGATTCAGTAAATTGACATAGAACAATTGACCCTGAGACCTGTCTCGGTGGAGATGTTAAAGAAAGCATCCTTTGGGTATCCAGGAAAAAAAAAATGATCAAGTCAGCTCTAAGGGGGACCTTGAGAAGGGCCTGAAACTTCATGTCACTGTTCAGCTCTCGAATATAATGTCACAATACTTACAGAGTCCTTAGGAAAATAATGTGTCAAAGTCTTTGCGATTATTTTTGAAGAGGCAAGAACTCAGAGATTTCATCTTCCATGAGGTCTTCTTGAAGTCACTGAGCCAATCAAGAATAACTGCTCATGGGTCTGGTCTCTAGTATCTATTCTATAAGAGCAGCATCAATACAACTGCAGCATTTACAGACTGTGGTGTAAATGTTGCAAACTGTGATTATGTAGAAGAGGGGACATCAGGGGTGGAGGGGTGACGATGTGGATATTTATTCATAGCAGTGAAAAACAAGTATCATTTTATTACAATATGTGAATCCAGTAATGGGAGCAGATGGATACTCACCTTGAAAACGCATTGCAAAGTTAAAAT